CGTTCTGGACTATATAATGCTTAACCTTACACTGTTGGTTCAGGCCTCTTAAATTGTCGCAAATTCGCATATATGCTCCCGGGGTAACTTGTATATCCTTTTCAGATGCGTGTTCCATTTCGGGCATAGGAACTAACACTTGTCCATGATTCCATCGTAGTCATCCGATATCTCTAGAAAACCAACCTTTAAAAGTTTTTTACACACCCTTTGAATCGCTCGCTCTTCGCTTTAACTTAGGCAAAGCTTTCTATTAAAATAAAACACCTTTATTTATTTTATACCCAAGTCTGCACTCCAAGACATTAATAACTATCAGAAGTCCACCTACAATAGCTAAACTACACTTCTTTTAGTCTTTCTGACATTTCAAAGTTTTAAAAATTTCACACTCTAGCTCACGTTTTAAATTGGTAAATTACTTTTCATTAGTTGTTTTCGAGGTGCTTTCGAGCAGCATAGAAATCAAATCGTTGATTTTACAGTTTTCATAATTTCAAGAACTATTATGTTACATGCAGATTGAGAGCATGTGCTCAACAATACAACAAAGAAAATAATATAGAGTTTGTTAAAAATAAAAAGAGCTGTATAACCTAGTTAAATGCTCTTAAGCCGCCTGAGTAGCACAATGCTTACCATCTTACAAACACTGATTACAACAACACAACGACAAAAAAAAAAAGAGCACGACGCTCATGGAAATAACTCTACAGTAGTCGACCTCTTATTTGGACATTAGTAGTCGCAGTATGTCCCCCAGACCCCTTGAGTTTTAAATTTCTTTTCTTATATTAAATAAAAAATACCGTGAACTTTTGAATATTTTTTGTTTGTTGAGATATTAGGATACAGGTCACACCAAATTTTAACTTCTTTCTAATTGAAAATTAGAAAACAAAATCAGAGTGCAACGCATAAATTTCTTGACTTAGCCTTACGTTTTTAATTTTTTTTCAAATATTGTAAGTTCAATGCCCTATGTTTCTGCTGAAAAATAAAAAGAAAGTTCATTTAATGTAAAAAAAAATAAAATTAACAAAAACAGTTTGTTTAAAGGGGCAACTCACTTGACTAAATACCTATTATTTTGCAACAATCGTTACAAATAACAAAGAAACATTCTGAAAACAAGTATATTTTACATTTGGCGCAATAATATCTTGTTTTTCGCTTTTTACCTTTACACATAGAGCAGTTTCCTCCATGGTGGCCTCTTTCTAGAATCTCTTTTCGGTTCTTGAATACCTAAAATTTCATTTATTCTAGCAGTTATGTTTCGCGGAATATTTTTATGTAACGCACGCTCTTTCAAATGTTCTTCAATAGGTGCAAGTGATAGATTTTTCAAATTTTTTCTTCTTTTTCATAAATTAACTTTGGTTAAACGTTTCTTTCATATATAACTTCAGAATTTATACCAGCTACGTTTCAGTATACTGAAGAATACTACCACTGCCACCGCCTTGTGTTGCGGCCGTAATTATACAAAGCACACAATTTGTGGACCATATCTACACCTCCCTTGGTTAGATTGTAACTTGTTATCATCTCAGGTTTCTGTTTTTCTTCAGAATTCTTATCAATGCCGTCAGTTTCATGCAAAGTTGATAATAAAAGCACAACCTTGCCTTTTGGGGGACGTACGAAACTAACTAATGTGGAGCTATTTCGAGATCTCAAACATACTTGAAAACGGTGGACGAATTTTACCATTGAGAAACAGTGGGTGTGTTTTCCCGTTTATTCCTTTTAATTGTACCCAGAATAGTTAGGCGGTGGTTCAGTAACTTGACATCAACTAATTTAACACTGGTAAACCAATTATCTATGGTAATGTTTCTTCCAGTATTCCACACTGGTTCACTAAGCCTTTTGACAATAATGTCAGTATCGTTATATACTTTGAATGGTCCCTCTGGTTGAGTTCCGATGTATACCTCCATATTTTTATAGTACATTTTCGCATCTACCAGCACTAAATTTTTTTTTTTGACACCATATTTATTTATTTGGTTTATTTGGCATAAATTGTTTGAAATGAAACTGCAACGTCCCCTAAAACTCTCCGACTTTTCATCTACTGTCCGATACTCGGACGAAACTTAGGAGTTTTTACAGTTTTCGACAAATAAATCAAATATTTGTCTAACTGATGCCAACTTACCTGTAGTTTTCCTTTCAGTCCGGGTGTCTTTATCGTCGAATCGTATGTACCTCATTAGGAAACGGGATCTCACAATAGACATAGTAATTCTGAAGATCTCTATCCCTCTACCAGTTGTGGGTCATAGTTGCTCAATGTTTAGCTTACCACTCTTGGTAATACCAACGAGATAAAATAAGTTAAAAAGAGCAAATCTTTCACGTCGCCTAGTTAAATTAGCATCTCTTTCCAGAGCAAAGTTTAATAAGCTCAATGAAATAAATTTATTGGTATTTTCAACAATATTACATCAATAATTTCTTCTTAAAAAAAAAAACATTTTTCAACAATGTATAGGTGCATTTTCTCCTTTGGAGCGAGAAGTTACTCCGGGTAAACGAGTTACTATATATTGTGTTCTTGCTCTAACGTTTTTAGGTGGGGCCATTCTACGCCACTTAGTTTTCCCGTCTTTCCCAAATACCGTGACCCAGCGTATACTTCATTTTCGTTATCTAATAACTCTTCCTCCGTGTAAGATCTTAACCTCGCATTTCATAACTGGCGATATCTTCGTCTATGTGCTTATCATCAAGTATCTCTTCTTTTGTCTGAACTTCATGCAAACGTAACGGACGATCCTGCTCTGCTTCATAACTCCACAGAAAAAAATTGAAAGTTGCAAAAAAAAAAACTATATAAAAGTTCTACATTCTTACCTCATAACCAAAAATAAAACAACAGTTACACAATAACACCATTAGTAGTCGCGGGGGCGGGGGTGTCTCTCAGACTTCCAGTGCTGCTAACTCCCAAAGTAACATACATAAACTGATGCGAATTGGTACCAGTCTGGGAGAGTACTTTGTTGGAAGGTACCGAAAACGACCGAGCATAATATCCAGTGATCCCTAAGATAAATCTTAAACTAGAAGTTCCAGATTTGGGCCCCCTGCAACTGCTGTAAGGTCTTATCATCAATTAGGGTTGTGCCCTCCGACGGCAACACTCAATTACATATAGCATAAGGCTACATTCGATCCTAAATAAAATAATTATAAATTATGTATAGTACGCCGCTAATAACTTACATATTAGAAATTAATAAAGAAAACACAGCGTATTTTTTCAGCCCTGCTAAAAGTTGTCTAGAGATAAAAAAAAAATTACAAAATACTTTGCGTAAAATAACCTGATAGTTATAACTTAATTTGTCAAATCTTATATAAGATTTTACCTAGAACTCAATTACTGTTTATAATAATGTTACATCAAACATGGTTTAGTTTATAAAAGGGTCATTTTTTCACCTATTTCCTGTGTTAGTGTTTCTGTATCTATTTTGTATAAAGCCACAGTAACTCTTGACCTATTTAAAGAGCAATTCTGTGCATTTTCTTAATTTTAAAGACTTAGTTTAGAAAATAAGCAATATGCTAAATTAATTTTATTTAAACCTAAAGAGTAAAAAAAAACTATCACCATGAAAGTCATGATAAATGATTATAATTTAAGTTCAATCTAAATATTCATAATTATAAGACAGTATTAAGAACGGCATTTAAAATAAATACAGAATGGTTTTATTAAAGTAACACGGCGCCTAAAAAGTCCCGAGACTACCCCATAGATTATCCCTTTATATAAAGATTATATCATTCTCAGTTAGTAACAATCTTCAAATGATAACTATCAAAATATATGATGACATTTTTTCCATTAGTTACCGAGATTTTGGAATTTTGCCGTTACCTTTGTTATTTTCAAAATATTGGGAAAAAAGGTATTTCATGTGTTGGTTAAACATTGTTTTTTAAAGGGAAAAATAACTTTTAAACTCGACATTGGCTTGAATATGTTGTAGGGTATCTAACTTGTCGAAAACAACGATTTGTCGGTGGTTTGCCGAGTTTAAAGGAGTCGTAAGGACACTAATGATGCTCACGCTCTGGACGCCCAAATGAGACAATTACTCTAGACAAATATAGAATAAAATCCACCTAAATGTTGTCGATGACCGTAAAGTTAAGTTGGATGAGTTAGCTGATAGAAATATCGTGTAACTATATTTTGCAGGAACATATTTGGGATGAGGATGCTCTGTCCGGAATGGGGTACCGAGTTTGCCCGTAATGATTCGAAAACAACAATGTGCTGATGATGACCCAGGGCGCTGTTATATCTGTTTAAGCAAAATAAGAAATATATATCTGCGACTTGTAATAAAAAATGAAACATCCTGTATGCATTATTATACTCCAGGGTTCAATCGGTTGTCAGTTGAGTAACAAGTAAAGAGTGAAAGCCGCTCAAAGCGACAGGTTATGACCTCCGTATTTGGGGGACGCCCATGGTATAATATTCATTATCTAAAGAAAAACCATGATTAATGAATATTGTGCAACAATATTGTTGTGAGGAAATTACTAGAAACGGCCCCATATGGCGAAAAAAAAATTGCATTTTTCAGCAAGACGATGCATAGTGTCTTAAGTCGATGGTTACGGTAGCCCTAGTTGTACTCTACAGATCTGACCCTCATCGATCATTATCTCTTTACAGACCTTAAAAAAGTGTTTCAGGTAAGAGATTTAGGTCAAACGCAGTAGTCGCTCTGTAAGGAGTACTATTTTGGAATTTAAGTTAAATTCTACGGAAAGAAGTTGTGTTTGTGGTTACTCCCCAGGCTTTTCAGGCAACGTTTGAAATGAGGGTTAACTCCGTCGATCTAACTTGTTGGAGCAGGCAGAATAACACCTCCATCTCACGCGTCCAAAATTTTGCTGAATAATGCTTGAAATGGTCGTTTTTACTTTTTAGTTAAACTTTTTATAGGTAGTAAGTTCTTACTAAAATGTTATTGACACCTTATATGCTTAACAAGTACTGTATTAATAATGTAAAATTTCATTTAATATATCATTTCTGGTCCTATTCAGTTGTTTCTAGAAAATTATTTAATAACCAAACTGCGAACGGAAAATGTTATAACTCTAATAGTCCTTATCATAGACGAAGGAATTTAAAAAAACCCGATTTTTCTTTAGATGTAATTTTTTGTTTAATTTTGCTTTACTTGTTTTTTATAATATTTTCTGTTCTTTTTCCAGGGAGAAAATATAAAGGGCTATTCGTTAGGAAAAGATGGTTTATCTCTTGATTCCGAGTTGGATATCGTAATTAATTAAACTATTATAGTATTAGTAGAAGTACTATCTTTTTCTTATATAAAAAATTTGAGGAGGGTAAAAGCATTTTTTTTTATAATTTTTTCTTATACCTCCTTTATTTGAGTTAGAAACCTTATTTATACGTTTGCAACTTAATATTGTAATTTGCTTAATTCCTTTTTTCTTTTTTTATATATATTATTCTTCACGTCTATATTCAGGTCTTTTTATTTATTTTTACTTGCTTATATTAGTGCTTCCTATTTACTTAAACTTTTATTCTTGTAATAAAAAATGAGTGCACTGTAATATTGCTTATATACAATTACCTTTATAATTTTTTAATATTAGTGTTTAGCCTAATTTTTATCACTTTTTTTAAAAATTTGTTATAAATTATATTTCTATGTTAATAAAGAAAAATTTAAAAGTTGAGCGCCTACCTTTTTGGTTACAAAGAAGAAAGCGTAACACAAGATATATTATTTCTGAAAAATTAACTCTTTTGCTTGAGCAAAAAAAGGTATTTTTACTTTTTTAAATAATTTATTTTAAAAAAAAATAATGAAGTTAACTCTAAAAAGGAAATAAGTTAAGGAAGCCTTTACTACTGATCTCCTTTGCTTTTTCATAAGCCTTTTTAATGTTACTAATACTTTTACGGCTAAAGCAAAGTGTAGTGGTCCGGTTGGAGTGAAAAAGCTCTGATTGGGCGGGATTTGTATATTTATTTTGGGATTGGAGGGCTTAGTAACCGGTGCAAATAACAGCAGGCTGTAGGGTGGCTTAGACATACCAAAAAATATTTATACTATAGTAACTTCTGCAAGGTAAAAATTAGTAAAAACAGTTATTAATTAAACTTTTGTATACTTTTTTTATAAATCTATTCTAATTATAATTATTTATATTAACTTTTTTAAGCTGCAAGAGGCTGAAATTTATCTGGAAACTTCCCTAAAGCAGACCAGGACCCCTCCAGACACCGCTTTGTATAACATTTTATTGGCTGGTTATTGTGCCAATTATTGCTGGAACAAGGCTGAGGCTATTTTTCGGAAGGTTTTTGATTTTATTAATAAGCAGAATATCTATATATTTTTCTTGGTTATATTATATAAATATAATTTTTATTCAGCAGTAATATTAACATTAATATGTCTTTTGCCCTTATTATTACCGCTTTTATTGGTTTAAAATTTTTAATATATCATCACTGGTTGATATATTCGTTTTTTCTGCCTTTCTGTTGGTTTTTCGTTTGAATAAAAAAGTTTTTTTTACAATTCTTACTCCTTTTTAAATGGCTTTCGCAATATATTTAACGTTTTTATTGGTGCATATTTTACCTTAAATTCTTTCTTGTCGCCGTTCTTTTTAGTTTGTACTTATAATATGATAACTTGTTCATTTAAAGACCGCCTTAAACGTTCTTGTTAATGCTCACATGATTTAAAATCGCTTTTCTATTTGTTCATATCATATCACGGATTTTACTTTTATTACTATTTGGAAATCTTGTAAGTTTGATTTTATTGGTTGCTTTATTTAACTTTGTGTTTTAATTTGTTCTTATCTATACTAAGTTTTCTAAACCTTTTTTTGGGTTGTTTATAATATTTCTTTATAATATAATTTTTTTTTATAAAATTATAATCGTAAAATTTCTAATTTCTTTATCAATATAGTGAAGTTTTATTATTTATTATAATGTTCTTATACTTTTTATATTAAATAAAAAATTTATTTATCTTATTGTGCTTTAACTTTTTATTTGTATAGCCTTTTATGAGTTTATTGCTTATTTTACTGCTAATTATATACTACCATTTATTTATTATTATGTAAATAATAAACATCCTCTTAATTAGATTTTTATTATTTACTTTTGCTGCAGTTATTAAAATCAAATTTGGCCAATGACGCTACATTTTTAATTTTACTGAATGCATATGCCTCCAGCGAGTGCCATACTTATGAGGATGCACTCAAGTTATTATTATTGCTATTACTACTATTATTATTGTTGTTTTCTCTATAATCATTAATTAGATTGGTTAATAAAGCAACTACTTTTCTTTGCTGTGGACTTTCTGTATATAATACTTTAATAAAAGGTAATTTTTTAATTAAAGTTTATTAGTTTATCTTACTTTTTAATAAAACAGTTGCTATCTTTAAAGCTGATAACCCATACGAATCTGTTAAAAATATTATGGAAACCTTGAAAGTAAAAATAATAAGATTTTAACTTTTATTGTGTATTGTTTTTTATATAAAAATAGTAAATTAATAACACCTTTATTACGTAGTTGAAAAAGGAATTTTTTTTATTCTATATCTTTTTTATTTATAAAAAAGTGTTAAAGTTCATATAAATATTGCAGCAGAGAAGCGTTAAACCCGATCACATAACTTATTCACAAGTTTTGCGGATGTTATTAAAGCAACAGAAATTTAATGAAGCTTTTGACCTTTTAAATAAACTTCGAGTATTATTATTATCGTTATTATTACTGTTATTATTATATCTTTTTAACAGAAAATGCGAAGGTCGCGAGGAACTTCTTGCGATTTTTTATATTATTTTTTAGAACATTGCAGAAATGAAACTTCTACTGAAAATATAAAAGCCGTTATCAATTTGTTTGAATCAGATCTTTCGGTTATATTTTTTAAACATTTTTGGTGTATGAAAAAGTTTTGTACGTAAGAAAATAACAGTATTAAAAATCCGTGATTTTGTAATAATAATAAGTAAATGGTTTATTAGCATTTGAAAAATTCAGGAATATTATGTTTGGGGTGTTAAGGAGTATTAAAAGTTTGGTTGCCTACAAAAAATAAAAATATACTCACCAAAAATAATATATTTAAAAAAAATACAAAATAAGAATATAATATATAATAATATGTTAATGAAAATATAATAAATACGATCTTCTGGTTTCTGTAAATACCGCGTTTTTTCCGAGTCCACGATTGGTTAGTGGATAGGATTAAGGTTCAGAATTTTTTTTTATTTCTTATTCGGTATATAAAAATGTATATTTGTAATCTATTTAGCATTTATTCATTTTACTTTTAAGGATAATTTTTATTTAAAAAAAATGCCAACTTTACTTCTTTATTTTCTTATATATTGTCTTGCGTATATAAGAATGGGAGACCCGTTTCCATTAATTCATGTACCGCTGCGCTCTTTACATACGAAAAGTTATCTCTGCAAGCTCCCCTTTCTCCCGTTAAAAAAGTTCAACTCTTTTTATCCAAAGTGGACGACCTCATTGGCTGTTGTCAGAGGGTTATAGTTTTTTTTTATTGGTTGAAAGTTCTCTTTATTGTGGATTTTTTTTCTCAGAATGGACTTCAGCTAGATTCCTTTTTCTTTAACGCCCTTCTCGCTTGTCTGCATTCTTTTTATGTAAAGCAAAAACGACTTACTGGCCAATTAGACTGCGATACTTTTTATTGCTTCGCTCTTAAATATTATACTGATATGAAGTCTTTAGGCTTGAAAGTTTTTTTTCTTATTCTTTTTTACTTGTCGTTTCATCTTTGCTTATATTATCATATTTTAGCCCGACCAGCACACTTTTATATACTTTGCAAAACTTTCTAAAGGTTTTTTGGATGGCTTATAGTTACGAGTGTTATGCTATTTTGTTTGTGCTTTCAGGGAATCCCTCGCACGTCCTGGCCGTGTGGGATCTTCTTGCTGTATACGCCATCACTCCCAATTCCTGCCTTTTAACGGAATTGGTACCAATTACTCCCATTTCTAGATAATACTGTATCGTTTATTCCTGTTTCTCGTTACTTGTCACCGGTTTACTTTCTTGTTGCAATTTATTATAATATACTGTTGCTGTTTGTCAAAACCCGTCCTTAAATATTTTTAATTATCCTTAGCATTTTGGTTTTTCCTTGCAGTTTATTTGCACCCATTATACTCCCCGGGCTTAAAAAGAGCTTTTTATATTATTTTGTTTCGTTTTAACATAAATAACGCGAAATTACTTAATTGCTTCCTTTTTAGTAAATGTTTATTTTATACACGAATATTTTAGTCGTACGATCTACTCAACTTTGATTTTGAATATTTTCTTCATATTCTTGATTCATATTCAAAGTTGAATATTCAAGTTTCTAATAAAACTTTGATTACTTTAAGGTTTTTTCATTGCTTTAATAAAAAATAATTAAAGTTCTATCATAAAGGTAACTTTACCACTAATATATATTATTATTTTATTACAGCAAATTTTTGGTTAACAAGAAACTCGACCCAAATTTTTTGCAGCGCCTGTCGAAAATTCTCTATCGCCTAAACTTGAATGATTGCACAACCAATTTAATTATTAAAGGGGACTTTCTATCGTTAGAAAAGATGCTTAACTCAGCCGCTGATTCCTCAGCAACTAAAATTAATGTGAATAATAGTCTGATAGAGAACATATTTGTGTAGATTTTTTAAAAAAATAAAGCATTTATATATGAATGTCGTAAGACGCTTAGAAAAAAAAGTTACTGCCATCAAATTATTAGAGTAAATGAAAAAGACTTTATACAGTGCTAGTATTATCTAAATTAATGCTTCTATCTATATATCTTTTCATGAAAACGCTTCTTTTGGCAATGTTTAATAAAGAGTGAGTCTTTTTTTGAAGGGTAAAATGGTAGCTTAAACGGTAAAGTTTCTACAAGAGATTTTGCAAGGCAAAAAAACATAATCTTTTAAGAGCGTGAAGTTAACTGTCTGCCAATGTGTAGCCTCAAGGGTGCCTAAATCACGGTATCTAAGCTGCTGCCGGCACCTAAACGCACGTAGCTCCTAACTGTAGCGCTTATACTTATTAAGTGTACAGCATTAGTAGTGAGCAAATTTAGTCATCACCTAAAGTGGTTGATCTTTAAGAGACTGAAGCTTTGCAATTAATATTGCTTTGTAAAAGTCCTCTAATTCTCAACTAAAAGCCAAGCCACTATTTATTTATTATGTAAATTTTGATTTTCTTCTTTTATAGACCTATTTGGTTGGCTTATATTGTATTAAATTCAGTTGGATCATTTCGCTACCATTAGCTAGCAAATTAGTTAGTTGAACGTACAGGCGTTTGCGAGCAACCCCTAGTCCTCTTTATTACAAAGAGGGTTAAGATCCTGAGGAATGGACATTATATACTTCCCCGACGTTAAGTTCATTTTAACGTTGTATACTTCATTTATTGACCGAAAATATGGGCCGTCACCGTAGCTCAGTGGTTAGAGGCGTCGTCGCGCAATCTTTTAAGACGCAAGTTCATCCCCCTCTGTTCTGGGGGGTACGGATACAACTTCCCTACAAAAAATATTAATACGTTTCCCTACTTAGGATTTTTTAAAAAGTAGTTCTTATTACTTGTTAACAAATATTTTTAAGCGTATAAAGCAGAGATTAACAACTCCTCATTACTTGAATTTATATACTTTAATTAAAGCTACCATTTAATCTTAGCACTATTTCATCTTATGGGCAAAAACTCTTTAATTTTTGTTTATCGGTGTATCTGACTAAAAAGTAAAGGCGATAATGGTAACACCCAGAAAATTTATTAATATAACGAGAACTAAATAAAACTAATATACAATTTCGCTAACGGAAGTATGGATAACGAGTTAAATATGCAATTTTTCAAGTCTGATTGTGGCAAAATCTCTAATAAGTATACAAACATATTACAATATCTTATATATAAGACAAAGTACAACTCCAAAAGAACATCTCCTCTAGATGCAATTACCCCACGCACCAAACTCGGCATCCTTGCCACCAATTTTTCAAAGTTTCCTTCTGGATCTCGTTCCACTCTCTTTGGAGAGCCCTCCAGAAGTCTTCCTTTGCTGTCACATATTCTTTCCAGACTTCCCTATCGAAGTTCAACCCATAATATTTCGATCAGATTCAAGTCCCGACTTTGGGGAAGGAGGGGCGTGGGGTCATGATTTGGAAAGTATCTTCCTCTTCTTTGCCGACCATCACGTTTTCCACACCCGAGGGCACCGCATTGGCTTTCGAGTTTTGGATAACTTTCTTGGCGAATGACCCCATCAGTTTTGACCAAATCTTTTTACGACGGCAAAAGGAAACAACCCAATTAATATAAGTAGATAAAGAAAATAACGAAATAAAAATGCTATATAAAAATTGATATAGTAAAACCACTCCCATGCTTCACTAATGAAACTACAAGTGCCGGTAACATTTTTGAGTTTTTGTTTCTTCGGAACAAAAATTCTAGGTTTTTCGCAGAAGACTTCGTATTTGTACTCGTCAGTCCATAACGCACTTTTCCAGTCTTCCATTGTCCAATTTTCATGAGTTTTTGGGTTCACTGAAGAGGTTTCGTTTCGTTTCCTTCGTCGAAGTGGTGGTTTTCATATAGCTCACCGATAGTGTAAATTGGCCTCTTCTAAACGCCTCTTTATGGTACTGACAAAAACTTCGCTTTGATGTCCCCGATTAAAATCAGCGGTAATTTCAGAAGCTCTATGACGCCTCTTACACTTATTAGTTTGATTCTTCGGTATTCGACCGCTGAGGTGATGGACCAGGGCGCTAAAGGTTTTCAATATTTCCGCGTTTTTTAAACCGAAGAATAGTCTGATGGGCGGTTGATTTTTCACTTCACCTTGTCGGCAGTTTACCGCACTGAAATACTTTTCCCGGTTTAGAGTTGAGATCTCTGAACTTTTTGCAGTACCCAAGGGCTTTTCAAGAGTCATTCTATATAAACAAACCACATATAAATGTCTCTAATGACGCCCACTTAAAAAAATATTCCCTTGGATCTATGCGACGTCTGGGATATAAAAGGATAAAGCAGGATTGGGTGACATATACCCTACGTAATCGGGCACTTTTGAAAACTCGGTAATGGCCTAGCGGCGCTAGCCAAGATTTCTAGAAAAAACCATTGTACGGCTTAAGAGCTTTGAACAATGGACAGGTTTTAAAAGAAATAAATTCTAAATTTGCTTATAATTAAACATTCAGACTTGCGGTACATATAATAAGACATGTTTGAGTTCTAAAACTGGTCACCAGAACATAGAGCCTTTTACATAGTGTTTTATAATATTCATTTACTGTTCATTCTCTTGTAACAGATAGTGTAGCCCTCCCCATTTTTTTTGACAAATTCCCTTAAAAGAACTAGTTTTTAAGGCTGACCTTAAAAAATATCCTAGTCAGATATCCTTAACAAGTCATACTTTTCTTTCACCCGGTCGGTGCCATAAAAGCCCATGGTTTTTCCTTTTGAATTGAAGTAGTCCCTAAACTTCAATAACTCGGGTATCCGCTTTTATACAGAATTACTAATGCAGGTTAACTCTGACTGAACCCTGCAAAAAATTGCGGCTAAAAAAAAAACAGGTTGAGCACATCTTATATCAGATGAACTTTAGTTATGCAATATAAGGTTTACATCATTTTGTAAATATTATTTATGTGGTCTCTTCTTTACTACAAAAAATATTTCTTTAAAGTGCTGACTTTGGTAGTTTTCCATTAACCGCCGCTAAGTTAGTTCGCATGTAGCTCTGTTTAATAAGCATACTTCATTAATAGAAGGGATAACTGTATAAAATAATTGTAAGGCAAATTACCTCTAGTTATTTGTCTTCCCTTATTACTATACATTATTATATGTTGTAGCTAACTCTGATTAATCACATGCTCCTACCTCGTGTTTTTACGTCTGTCCCACATTTTTGTATATCTTGTCCCCCCTGAGGTATAAATACCCCTCCTTGGCGGGACAATAAATTAATCTCTCCTCCTTCTCTTTCCTTCACTATATTAAGGTTAACTTAGGCAATTATAAAATATATTTCTCGAGGGGGGGGAGGGGGTTACCGCTCTATAAGAATCTAATTTTAAAAGGACTTCGCTTAATCACGGACTAAAGATAACCTTAAAAACAATGATATGCTGAGAGACTTCGCAAAGTTTACGTGGCCGTGCACAACTATTTTTTTTTTTCGGGTTCTTCTATGATTACCCAAAATTTACCTAGAATTTTTACTTGCTTAATATATTTTTATATACTTTGTTTATATATATACTAGCTTTTATTTTATTTTAATTATTATTATAATTAGCACTTATAAATACTATTACTTCCTTTAAATATTTATAGGCTACTGAATAATACTCTGTTCCAGTTTACTTATTTTACGATTTCTTTAAGCCTTAAATAAGTGCGCTTACTCATCTGCTCGTCTTACCTGACTTTCGCAAGTTACGCATTCCTGACACCTAAGGACGGGTTCTTTAACTTATCTGAGACTTCATTGATATAATTTAAGCATTCCGATGCTTTCGGCAGTGTCAACGATTTTGTGCCTCCTCTACCGGCTAGCAAAGCAATAGCATCTACATATTAAAAGATAACAGCAAACAACAATAATAACACTAACGGACACAATATACCCCAACTACAATAGAAGAAGGCATGCTAAACCTTATAAATGGGATTAGAATTCTTACTTCCATTTAAAGTATTTGTAACATTAAAAACTAGGGATATTTTTTACTATTAAACACCTTAGTATAGTAGAAGAAATAATTAATGTTTACGCCGTAAACTATATTGACCGAGCAATAAATTTGTACTTAACAGTTTAGATTTGCTAAATGTGGCCAAAAACCTTGGCACCAGGAGTTGTCCTTAACAAAGAGCCAAATGCCGCCATGCGCCCATTGTTTAAAAGAGCGCTCACGGACCTATAGGCTATTTACACTATTATTAAAACGTGCCTCTTAAAAAATTATTGAACTAAAAGTTTTTTTAATAAAAAAAACGATTTTAAGCGCTTCGGTTTCTATACTTCCAAGCAACTGAGAACTTACAAGTACAAGCAAATTAAAAACATTATTGATACGAGATCGTACTATAGCAGTTATTAGTCAGAAATGACAGCTCTCAGACTGCGAAGAGTCACTGGAGATTTTTAAATGTACCTAAAAACACCCACTCGCAAATATACTTTCAAGAATATAAATGAATTAGGACGTAAAAACGAGGGTTAAAAATTTAACCGAGAGCTTATACGTAGGTATTATACTAATTTAAAAAGGGCCAACAAACTGCTTACACAAATATTTTTTTAAAAAAGACCTCACAAACCCCCACTGCGGTAGTGTGGCTCACTAATTATAGACTAACTAGCTTGTAATATTCGGGCCTTCATCTCATCAAAACAATGGATTAGATATCCGTACTTAAAACATGAAGTTAATTAATGTCTTATCGTGTTTAAAATTTTAAACAAATACTGTTTTTCTAAGAATTAAATCAAATATTGTGTAACTTTTAAACCAACTGTTGGTGGATACCTTAAGTTTAAGCTTTCATAGGGTTAATAAGAGTTTACGAAAGCAGAGAAATTTTCAATCAGTAGACTGAGAAATATAATTTCATA